CTAAGGAGCCATAAGAATACTTTTTTGGGGTTACTCTGCTAATGATAATACAAGATAAAAATTCTATTTAGTAAATTCTAGGGTATTTTTTGGCCTTTGCCTTTCCCTCTAAGAGTGAGTCTCTCTTCTTTGAGTAAGGGATTCCTGGCAACTCTAATTCAGGCAACAAATGCTCTTTTGAACATTCAGGATCACAGAGGTTAATACCCTTGAGACTGGATTTGTCTAACAATCTGAAGACCAGTGCAGTACGGAGCAGGCTGGTACAGAAGACAGTAAGTCCTGTGGTCCAGATATTTCTTCACTGGTGTGCCCCTTGAAAATATGGGAAACTAAGTTAAAAATATAACTTGACCACTATAAGCTTCTTCTAAAATCGAATAATTTCTGAGGATTCCAGAATGATGCTTGATAATAACTCCTAGAATTTTGTGCATTTTAATGTTTAGAAAATGTGCTTTTCTGTAAACTTTTTTTTTGTAAGACTAAGTTGTGTTTCTTGAAACTCACAAGAATTTATAAGCTTATGATGGAATATAAAATAAATAATTATTTTAATGTAGGAAATGGTTAAGCAGACTTGAATGGATGCTTTCTCATTCAAGGGGGGCAAGTTTTTGTATATTATTGTGTAATCTTTGATTTTCATTACTAACAATCTCTAGAAGTTAAGTGAGTTCTTGTAGTGAGGTCAATGCTTTGTTCTCTAGAGGCAATTAAAAAGAAATCTGTAAGAAGATTCAGATAAAACATTACATGACAATTACAAAATGAACAAAATGTGATTTCTATGATGTAAATATAGACACGGTTTCTTAAGATTTTGGTGACACACGCCTGTAATCCCAGCATTGGGAAGGCTGAGACAGGAGGATCATTATGAGTCCAAGCTACGTAGTGAGACCCTGTATCAAATTTAAAAAAAATCCTATGAAAGTTTAATTCAAAGAGATTTTATTATTTGTTTAATAAAATTCAAAGCTAAACTTTCAAGACATAGCTTATTACAATAAGATTCTTTTAAACTTAGTCTTTTCATGCGGCATTCGATCACTGTGGAGAAACAAATACCCTTCTAGTTGTTTCAGAAGAAGCATAATTGGCATTCAGCAGAGTCCTATGAGACAAATATTGTGAAAGGCACTGAGATATCTTTTACAAATATGAAGTAGCATTTTGTAGTGAAATGTATACACACACATATATATCTGTATATTCAAAATAGCATAGTAGAAACTACGGTACAGAAAGAATAAAGAGCACAGTTCTGCGTTCCTCTCTTTAGCTCTATCAGGTTAGTATACAGGCTTCTCATTAGGGCAGACCTCATGGTTAAACACATACATAAAAGCAGAGCCCTAAATTTGGATTTTCAGATTAAAGTTTAAAGACATTATAGATTTGGAGGAGAAAACAAAAACCTGATGCAATTTTATAAGGAAGACTTTGTAAGCCAACATATCTTCCCCAAGGACGGCATTCTGTAGACTGGTCCACATCTATACACTGTGGCACTGTACAGTAGATGCTGGGAGAGCAGGTACTGAACATCTGCTAGGATTCTCAATACAAAAGTGTTCAAATAACTCCTAAGAGATAAAAAACGAATTTACATCAGGCCCACAAACCCGTTCACTCATTTCTAAGAAAGCAGTTTGAATTCTCAGGATGGAAACTTAAACTCCCGAGTGCTATGGGGAAAAGGAAGCTTCTTAGAATACTTGAGACACCCAGGGCATTTTCCAGTAACTATGGTCCTTATCATTTAATGAGCATGTACTCAATCTTAGCTATTGCAATAAATTACTTTTTAGCCTGACAACTTTAATAACATAAACATGGTCTTTAGCCTCATTTAGCAAAGGAGGAAAATACTGACCAAAGAAGGAAACTAATTTACATGAGATTGCAAAGCTATGGAAGTGGGATGTGAATGTCTATTTGTTCCTCTCATGTCTTGGTTTTACTTTGCTCATCCCTGGGGCATTGAAGCCATAAATGATGTTTGTGGATCACGTTGGCTTACATCACTGAACACTGCACACAGTTGGGCCACCCTCTACCTTGCACATTCACAGGACAACTAAACATATAGTCTTAGGAATATTTTCAACCTATCCTACGGTCATTATCCATACGTAAGCACAGAAGGGAACCATCCTTTTCAAATCTAATAACCATTCTTGGGTTGAAAGCTTGGGCTACTGCTAAGTCTCTTAGTCATCCATTCTGTTTTGTTTCTGAATTTTTACTTTTTCGTTGAGCATGTTAAGTTTTCATTTCATCTTCTGCGCTATTTTACAATGCTTGAAATGTATTCCTATGTATTCTACTTTTCCCCCCTATAATCTCTGTGTTTAGTTCTTCAAACTAAGCTTTTTACATTTGCAACACAGTGTAACTGAAGAGGACAGGATAATTTTCTATCCTGAGAATTCAAACTGTTTTCTTAGAAACGAGTGAATGGGTGTGTGGACCTGCAGTAGATCCATTTATTTATCTCATAGAAGTTATTTGAACACTTTTGTATCAAGAATTCTCATAGACTTTCTGTACCTGTCCTACTAGTATATACTGTGCAGGATAAAATAGTTTTTGATCTATGTCTACATTGTAGAAAGATTCAATCAAGCTAATTAACATGTTGACCAACTTACTACTAATGTGATTTAGTTTTGTGGTGTGAACATAAAATATTCATTCTTTTAGGAATTTTGGGATGTGTGTGTGTGTGTGTGTGTGTGTGTGTGTGTGTGTGTGTATTCTTATGACAAATTGGGGCCTGAAGCAGATCATTATTTTTTTTGTGTATCTGAAAACTGTGTGTCTGTGGATCAATACCCTTTCTTCACTGCCCTGACCCCAGCATCTGTGTGGTCTTAAATGTAAGAATTTAAATCATGATTTCATGTAAACATGCGAGAATTCTTCATTGGATTTTTCTCTCAGCTATTTTATAAATGCCTACCCAAAAATCTCTGCCACTCTTCCTCTTTCTCCCCCTCTGTTTTTCTCTTTATTTGTATCTCGGAATTAATTGTAAGTATCAGTAAATCTGAATAAAAATGGACATTTATAAATACCAAATGTATCTTTGTATTGACATTTTATATTTCTCATATACTGCATTCTCAATGACCTGGCAATTATGGTACTTATTAATCAATTTTAGAGATGAAAATGCTGAGGCTCTGAAGCAAAATAAGACAGCTTCATAGTCACGTTGCTAAGCAGTTGTCATGTTCTGTGATTCTAAATTCTGCAACTATCTATTAAATCATGTCTGTTCTATAAAGTTTGTCTTTTGAAAAATCTTTCTTTGTCTAATTCTAAAGGTAATAACTGCTACTTGCTAATCATTCAAGGATTGTGTAAATTAAGTTAAAAATTACTGAATAGAAAATATTTCTCTATTTCCCTACATAATTGCTGGTAATGAGTCTCTGTATATTTAACTAAATTTCTTATAATTTGATCATTTTCATTATATTTCAAACCTAAGACCAAAGTATATAATGTTCTACTCTCTTTTATTTTTTAATTTATCATCTGGGTTAGCATAAGTTAGGTTTCATCTTAACACTACCCTGTAACTAGCAGATAACTCACTTGAACCATAGTAGGTGACAAGAGAATTAAAAGTAGGAGGAGTCCGGGCGCGGTGGCGCGTGCCTGTAATCCCAGCACTTGGGAGGCAGAAATCAGGAGGATCACTACTAATGTGGGCTATGTAGTGAGACCCTGAGGGGGGAAAAAAAAAAAAGAAAAAGAAAATCAAGAGAATTAAAAGTAGGTGTATACTGCATGTCATACCAAGAAGTGCGTCCTTGTTTGTTCCTTTTGGGGCATCAAAGGCAGTGTCACACTCAACATATCAGTATTCAGGTTATAGAACAAACAGCTGGAATTACTATGGTAAAATAACACCACATTATTTGAAAGAGTCCAAATATTAACATTTTTTTTCCTTCCTGAAACACAGGACTTAACAAACATAAGCTTTGGGTTCTATCCAAACTCATTTGTTATGCCTAGTATATGCTAAGAACATGTGACTTTCAACTTAATCATTTCTATTTTACTTTCTTTTTATAGAAAAATGTTGGAATAAATTGATATATATCTCCAGATTATCATAAGAGTAATTACCATTGACTTTCAAGTTCTATTGTCCAAGGATATATATTTGAGATTAAGATAATTCCTGTTAGTTAATTCAATACACTTGGATTCAAGATTCAGAATACATTAGAATTCACGATATATTTTTGCACAACTATCAAATATAATATGGAAATATTTTAGGGCTTAGACCTCCTGAGACTTCCCTATATTTTAAGTAATTTCTATCTCCAAAATTCTTCTTTTTAACAAATTTATGTTATGGTTTAGATCTAGAATGACCCTCAAGGGCTGGGGAGAGAGCTCAGCATTCTAAGTGCCTGCTTGTCAAGTGCAAGGACCAGGGTTCAATGTCCAGTACCACATGCCGTGCTGGCCCTGGAACCCCAGTGTAATGTGCCATAGACCAAAACTGGGTGTGGTGGTGCACGCCTGTAACCCCATCCCTTGGGAAGCTGAGATAGGAGGATTGCTATGAGTACAAGCTGTGCAGCAAGATCCTATACCAAATAAACAAATAGATTTTTTAAAGAGAAGAGTGACCCTCAAACCCTCATGTGGTTACAAGGTATAGCCTCATGAGAACAAGTTTGTCACTGGGGCCATGGCCTACATGGCTCTGTCTCCCTCCTCGCTCTGTCTCTGCCTCCTGGCTGACAAAACCCAAGCAGCTGCCCTCTGCTAGCCCCGCTCACCATGCGCTCTTTGCCCTGGAACAGCCAACTAGGCACTGTACCCCCTAAAATCTGTGGGTCCCAATGAGCTTCTCCTTAAGTTGTGGGCATCAGATATTGTATCTCAGCAATAGGGAATATGACTATATTTTCTGTTTTTGTCACTAATTGTACAATTTTTAGGGTCATGTATAGAATTTTGAGAGATAGGTGCATTAAATTATTGCATTTGGATATATGCGGTCATTTAATTGACCTAAGGGCAAATAAAGCTTAAAATGCATACAAAATCTTATATACTCTTAATCTGTACTATTCATTTTTCTGAGGGAGTAGTCTCACTGTGTTGCCCAGGCTGGCCTTGAACTTGTATAATTCAGAACAGCTGGTATTGCGGGCATATACCACTAACCCTCCTTTAGAAATAATTAAAGGCAAAGCAATAATTTATGTCCTCAGGTAAACTATAATATGATACATCTTTTGTGCATTATTCCCGACTGAATAAGAGTCAAATATTTATAGTTAAAGTAGAGTATCAAATGCTTTTACAATAGTGACTGGGCGATAAGCCAAAAAATGTTCAAAAATTTTTTATCATTCATGCAAATCTAAGTTATCACTTACCCTAGGTCTCAGTCTTGCAATTGCAGATCATTTCTTTATGCCAACAAGCCTTATTTATTTCAAGTTCTAAGGCATACTTTCAAACCCCAGCAAATGAAAGGAGGATAAGTACTGAAAAAAGCTGTGTAATAATCCAGATTTTTTTTCAAGTGGAAGCATAAAGAAGATGATCACAAAAATGTCACAGAAATGCTGGTGTGAACCTTTTGCTTATGGAATGTAGTGTGCTACAGATTCATGGCAAGATGGAAGTTATTGCTACTTATTTTTTCATGATAATTTCAGAATCAGTAAAGAGAAAGGCAAGGTTTTGGGCATTTTTAAAAATTATTACACCTTCAATTATTTTGATAGCTACTAAAATCTTGGTGAAATGAAAATGAAAATGAAAATAAATGTTTCTTTTTGCTCTGCTATCAATAACATTTAGAGAAGAAGAAGTTATTAGGTGATTTCCTCTCCAGAGTTGAATTCACACCAACAGGGAGGAAATAGCAACTAGTTAAAATGTAATCTGGACATTGAAAACTTTGCTTTCAAAAGGATTAGAAATATTTGTGCAAAATTCTATTGTCATGGACACAATGGAATCTAACTCAGAGTGGATGCACAATGCACAATTAAAACCCAAACAAAGCTATCGACCTAGAGTACTCTTACTGTACTAAAAGTTTCAATTGAATTGTTCAGAACATGGAATACAACATCTTAAAGAAATAATGTTACTTAAAGAGTAGGTGTCCAAACTAGTCCAAAGGAAATCATGGGGCCCAATACGCAGTTGGGTGCAATACGCAATCTGCATCCGACTGGGAAAAACTCCACTTCCCCAGGAGCAAGGAGAGAAGCGAGGACAGAGGTTGTATGAGAAGTGAGCAAAGGAAGAATCACAAGAAAGGGGACTGCCTGGGGGAGTAGGGGACTGGGATCCTCAGAAATGGTGTGAAGGCAAATTCTGAGTGTCTACTGGAGGAGGCTATCGTGCACCTCATTTGGTAGACGAGAGTCCTAAAGATGTGAAAATTGTGTGCTAACCAACCAGTGAGCATCTGTGTATCACCTTGTGTTCTGGGTAAACCTGTACGTCTCTTAAAGTCTCTATATATTGAAAAAACATTTCCTAGCATTTCTATGCTAGAGGATTAAACATCCTCTTCAGATTGATATAAAAATCTACCAAAAAAAGCCAGGGAAGTAGCTTATAGCTCAGTATCACAGCACCTGTCTGGTAAGCACAAGGTCGTAATTTCAACTAACAATAAAAAAAATACCCTACCAAAATTGCATTAAATTAACATTTTTAATGTATTCAACTTGTAATTTAACTCTGAAGTCACATTGCCATTATGATAGGGACATGAATAGATGTTTCTAAACATTTTATTAAGAATATAGAAAATATATCTGAAAGTAACCACCTCTTAACAGCTATCGCTATATAGGTGGTATCTTATGTAACACATTTTTAGGTTATATCCTTTTTATGTTGTATCATCCCTACTTGCTTTTCATAAATCCTTATAATCCATAGTTATTTTTGTCACTTAAATTTCTCTATAAATATAATTCTCTTCTTTATTTCTTTTACTGCTCAGTTACGCGATCATACTAAAAGTATGTCTAAAATTTTTATGAAACTTAAGAACTTTTATGTGTAATCATAAAAGAGTACATTATTAAGAATATATATTACACCTACTGGGAGAAAGAAATACTTAATATTTGGTCCATAAATTGTACTGCAAACATTTTACAATGAAACGAAAAATCTTTTTTTTTTTAATTTTTTATTTTTTTGAAAAATCTTTCTCATTTATTGACTATCCACTGATGAAGTAACATATTGTAACCACCGGTTAGCATGCACAAAAGATTTCCTGAGTTAAACATTGCAAAATTAAATGGTTCCAGGAACAAAGCATTTTCTTTAAAGAAATACATCAAAATAAAATTGACTTTTTTGATGCAGTGCTTGCTTTTGTTTTGCTTTGTTTTGTTTCCCTCGCAGAGAGCGACTTAATCTAGAAACCTGATCTTCCCAAATTAGTTAAGCTTGTAATCTGCTCATTTCTTCAGACATGCCTCAGGACTCTTCATTTGTTTCCCTCCAGTCCACCAATTATCACCTTCATACAGAATTTTAGCTATTTTTCTCTACTTAAGGCACCAATAAAATGAATTTGAACTACGATATGTTTTCTACAACACTCCTACAATAAAACGATTCTTATGCCAAATGCAAAAATCATACTCTACTTTTAAGGAACAGAACAGGCCATTGAGGCTTGACTGGGAAGCCAAGCACAGCAATGATCCGTGAGCAAGCGGGAGAAAGGTTCCTCGCAAGGAAGCTGTTGCTAATAAGAGGGAAAGCGCCCAAGTTCGAGAGTTTTATTCACACATTTGCATTGTAATTTGGTTTCATAGGTGAGAGGAAAGTGCATGAAGTATTTACCACGCGTGTAATTGAACATAGACAGAGCATTATTACTAGATGAAGAGCTGAATTACACTTTTTAAGATCTAAGTTTATGTCGCTTCTCTGCCGTTTGGCCACGGGAACACCTAAATAAGTTCCAGGTAGTATATCAGAGCTCAGTACTTATAATTTTACTCTGCTCGATAGCTCCATGAAGAAAGGAAAGATAAAATAGCGCGTCCCTGACTCCAATTTCTTGTATTGTTTTAACTGAGAAATTTTTAATGCTTCACATATCCTAAAAAGAAGAGATAATAAGAACTGAGGGGGCAGGGCCCCCATGGATGATGCTAAGGGAAAACCATGAACAATGCCATATTTCAAATAAATGGCACAGCCAATCTTGAGTGGAGCACAGCGGAGTTAATTTTTAATGGTTTGGACTTGGAATATTTCCTCAAATACAGTATCTGCAGTCTGAAGATAAAATATCGCTAAGCAAATACTTCAGTCAGTTCCGAGACCTTGCTTCTTCAGACTCACGGAGTAACAACTTTAGAACTAGTTCCTATATATTTTAGGATGAACACACAAGCACACCGTGGCTAATGGGAAATAGGTTTTTGCTGTCAGAGAAGAAAGTTGCAAATGGGAGGAACCAGAATGGCCTCCAAATATTGATTGTGGATGAATTTCAATTTATCTCTTCAAGATGGATAAATAGATGCATAAATTAGCATAAAATAGAAATAATTGTGTTGCTATATACTCACACATGTATAAGAATATATTCATATATATGTATATATTCCCATATATGTAATATTTATAAGTATATGTAATAATATATTATTAGGTTTAGTTTCTGAGGTAGCCTAGAAGCAGTGACATTGAGGAGAGTCACATCTAACCCCTTGACCCTAGTTTTCTAGTTTGTAGTTTGACTACAAAGAATCAGCAAAAATTATTTTTGAAATTACTGATTCTGGGACTAAACAAGAAAGATAAAAGAAACAATTTTTTTGTGTCATAAATTAGGGAAGTATTCAAGGAATAAAGTAGACATGTTAAAGAAAGACAAGATAGATAGATAGATAGATAGATAGATAGATAGATAGATAGATAGATAGATAAATAGATAGACAGGGGCTACTTTAGCTCAAATCCAGGATAACTTGAGTGTCATTTTATATTGTATATTACATAGGGCACAGGATCACTACTGTGACATCAACACCAATATGCTTAAAATAAATCTATTGAAGAAGAAACACTGCACAAACTGAAAGACAGTCTCCAACATAGTTGCCCTACCTTATTTTATAAAACTGTCTGCATCACGAAGCACAAATTAAGACTGAGGAACTATTGGAGAAATAAGAAGTTTAAAGTGATACGAAAATCAAAGCCATAAGATGACATTTTCTTTGGATATGAAAGACATTATGGGGACAATTGAAGAAACTTGAGTAAGATCTGTAGATTAGAAATAGTAGTACGACTAGTAAATGCTAACTTCCTGATGTATGTAAGATGTCTTTAATTTTAGGAAATATAGACCTAAGCATTTAGTAAAGAAAGGGTTACTATTCTACTCTTGAATAGTTGAAAATGGTGCAGGAAAGTAAAGGCATAGATAGATAGATAAATAGATAGATAGATAGATAGATAGATAGATAGATAGATAGATAGATGATAGACAGAAAAATAGACTAACTTTAACCTTTGGGAATTACTAGGAAAATGCATGCTGGAATTCTTAATTTAATTAATTAA